AGCAGCAGCAGCAGCAGCAGCAGCAGCAGCAGCGTGCATACATAATACAGCAGCAACGACAGCTACGTCAGCAGTTGCGTCAGTTAGAGTTACAGGAGCAGCAGTTGCTGCTGCAGCAGCAGCTAGAGGAGCAGCAGCAGCAGCAGCAGCAAGAAGAAGAGGACGGAGACGAACAGGCAGGATTCTTAATGGGCTCATTAGTTGCTCCTTTCTTTAGAGGATCCAGCAGCACGGGTGGAGCACAGAGCAGCAGCATCAGCAGCAGCAGCTGCAGCGGTAGCAGCAGCAGCAGCAGCAGCAGCAGCAGCACATTGAGACAACGTGCTGCTGAGTCATTCCTTAACAGCAGACCTCTACGCAACACAGAAAACACAACAACAACCCAACAGCAGCAGCAGAGACGTCGCCAACAGCAGCAGCAGCAGCAGCAGCAACAACAACAACAGCAACAACAACAACAGCAGCATAGCAGCAGCAGCAGCAGCAGCAGCAGCAATAGGAAGAGTATAGAGGGTTTTCCTTTATTAAGACGTCGTAATAATAAAGATAGACGTTCTTATCATCGCAGCAACAGCAGCAGCAGCAACAGCAGCAACAGCAGCAATTATAATAATAATAATAATAATAACAGCAGCAGCAGCAGCAGCAACAACAGCAGCAGTAGTTGTAGTTGTAGTAGTTGCAGCAGCAGCAGCAGCAGCAGCAGCAGTGATTGGTGTTGCAGTGATTACAACAACGACTACAGTGATACAGACTATTACAGCAGCAACAGCAGCAGCAGCAGCAGCAGCAGCAGCAGCAGCAAGAGGAGGAGTAAATATTTTCCTTTCCCTCTTCCTCTAATAGAGGATCCAAATAACAACAACAACAACCCCAACAACCCCACCAAAATAAACACAATAAAGAGCAGCAGCAGCAGCAGCAGGAGCAGCAGGAGGAGGAGGAGGAGCAGCAAATATAATAATAGATGTAAGAATATTTCAGGTGTATGGACATCTCCATATATAATAGGTGACTATACACCTGGTGCTCGTGCTGCACATAGCTGTGAATTAATTTGTGGATATTTAATTCTTTTTGGAGGATGGGATGGATATAAACCTCTTAATGATTTATATTTACTAGAAATTATTGATAATCCTTCTGCTGCTGCTGCTGCTGCTGCTGCTGCTGCTAATAATAATAATAGTTGTAGTAGTAGTAATACTAGTGCAGCAGCAGCAGCAGCAACAACAGACGAAGATAATGATGGGTTTATTAATAGGGGAAGAAGAAGGAATATATATACAGAAGAAACAACAACAATAAAAAAAGATATATATAATAATAATAATAATAATAATAATAATAATAATAATGCTGCTGCTAATGCTGCTGCTGCTGCTGCTGCTGCTGCTGCTGCTAATGGTGTTGGAGTGTATAGATGGCATCGTATACCAAGAAGCAGCAGCACACCTGCAGCAAGAAATAATCATACAGCAGCAGCAGCAGGATATAATCTATTTATTCATGGTGGTCATGATGGTGACCAATGGTTAGGGGATATAAATATATTAAATATAAAAAAGATAATAAAAAATATAAATAAATTAAATAATAATAATAATAATAATATAAATAATAATAATATAAATAATAATATAAATAAAAAAAAAAAAAATATAAATATAAATTATTCAGGTGTATGGACAACTCCTGAGGTGTATGGACAGCTCCCTTCTCCTCGTGCTTGTCATTCATTAAATAAAATAAAAAATAAATTATTTTTATTTGGAGGATTTAATGGTATACAATGTTTTAATGATATATATATATTAGATTTATATACACTTACATGGATACAGCCACAAGTTAAAGGTAAATCTATTTATTTATTTATTTATTTATTTATTTATTTATTTATTTATATTTATTTTATTACCCTCTTTTTTATGTATTTATTGATCAGGGAGGGTTTATATTCATCAATTTATGTCTTATTAGGGTTTATTAGGGTTTATTAGGGTTTATTATTAGGGTTTATTATTAGGGTTTATTAGGGTTATGAATATAATAATTAATGTTAATAAATAAATAATTATTATATATAATTGTTATATAATAAATATTTATATATATATATATATATATATTTATATTATTTATTTATTGTATAATATAATAATATAATTATTATATTTAATAATATAATTTAGTTTTTAGGGTTTAGGGTTTAGGGTTTAGGGTTTAGGGTTTAGGGTTTAGGGTTTAGGGTTTATATGTGTGTATACAGGGCAGAAACCCTTAGCACGTAATGCTCATTCAATGGCGGCATTAGATGATCGTCTTTTTCTTTATGGAGGACATAGCGGTACTAAACATCTAACAGATCTACATATCTTTGATACAAATACACTTACTTGGACTAAGGTAATCTAAGCAAAGGGAGGGTTTAGGGTTTAGGGTTTTGAGGGTTTTGAGGGTTTTGAGGGTTTTGAGGGTTTTGAGGGTTTTGAGGGTT